TGTTGGTTTACTTACTCTAAACAATATCAATCCTTCATTTTCATACAGGGCGCCCTACTGGTGGCGCAGCCAATGCTGAAGCATAGGCTCGGGGCGTATATTTGGCTCACCAGTAGTGCCAAACCTATATTTTTAACTATATGACTTGGTGCCTAATTGAATGATTTTTGCAATTATTGTTCAATCAGGTGAGCATCTGTGCCCAGGGCCCACCATTTATGCTTGTATTTTTTGGGGGATGCAAAATCAAAGCAATAATTGATGCCTGGCTCCCTTATTGTATAAAGCAGTCGTGGCCTATATCGCCAAATAAATTTAAATGAAGTATAAGCATCTTGTTATCTTTCCTATACAAGCCTAAGCTTAAGGCATCTTTTGATAATGTGATTTAACCACTCAAAGTTAAATCCATTTATCAGTGTCACTAAGCTTGCTTTTTTCAATATTTCGTCATTCGGGGTTATCCTTTGAATCCCGCCCTGGTATTAGCATCATCTTAACCTCGGGGTTTTTGGGTTATTAAGCATATTGCCTAGGCGGATATTTGGCTCACCAGTAGTGCCAAACCTATATTTTACATTGTAACTATATGACTTGGTGCCTAATTGAATGCATTTTGCAATTATTGTTCAATCGGGTGAGCATCTGTGCCCAGGGCCAACCACTTATGCTTGTATATTTTTGGGGATGCCAAATCAAGGCAATAATTGATGCCTGGCTCACTTATTGTATAAAGCAACCGTGGCCTATATCGCCAAATAAATTTAAATAAGTTTAAACATCTTGTTATCTTTCTTATACAAGCCTAAGCTTAAGGCATCTTTTTATAATTGTTTTATTAGTATATGATTCAGTGATTAAATGATATAAACTAGTTAAGGCCTAAAAAATATGTTTGTTTCCCGTAACCCGACCGACCCATTCAAATTTTTCTGCCAAATCTGCGTTTGCTCTTTTCCTTTGATTTGATCAATCAGCTGATTCCATTTATTTAAAAAATATAAATTGTAGCTTTATTTGAGATATAAATTATGTCAACCTAGTCAACATTTACCTTAAATATAAAGAGTAATCATTATTGTAACAACAATTTCCCCCACATCTTTACGAAAGTCGTTTTCTGCCGCTAGGCAGCCATGTTGGGTGTCCACTGTGAATATAACACCTGGTTAATTCAGTCCGGAGATGTTTAAACCCAATATCATCCCGACCTACCGACCCTTGATTTTTTGGGAATATTACAGGAAACAAACATTTCTTTTTACGCCTAAGTAATCCTTGACATATTTCTTATCTGTTTACATTCTTTGAAGTCCTAGCTGAATGCAGCGAGTGAAGCGGGGTTAAAATAAACGTACCCAGTTGTATTAATTGAAAATACGTGATCTATTTGTTTTGTCCGAAAACAGAAAAAAAATGTCATGTTCACCTGTTTGGATGAAATAATTTTTCAGAAAAATTTTACAATTCAGAAATTTGGCCCTATGTATGTAAATGTTATTTTCACCTGGAAGATCGAGGTGGAGGTGAACATAACTTTTTATATCTAATAGCATCAATTTTGAAGTTCTCGGTCTGTTATTGGACCAGCATAGAAAAATAATGTCATATTCACCTTGAAGATTTCGTAAAGGTGAACATACCTTAGTATGTTTTCCAAAATATTGGATCTCGTTATTATTCATAAGATACAAAATTAGATGTGCATGTATTTACTGAAAATTTAAGACAATTTTTAAAAAACATGTTTTACTCTTTCAAAAGCAGGTGACTACAATGTCATATAATATATTTTTAAAAATATTTTATCTATTTGAAAATGTGCATTCATTTATGCAAGTGTTCACACCTAAATGACAAGCAGAAAACCAATTGTGTTACAAAAATATAAAACAAAATCTGCCATGTAGATTATTTCTTGTTAAAAAAATGTATGGCACCTATAAGTAACATAGTGCATTTGTTTATACCCATTTCAAATCTGTACACAGATTCAGCATATCAGTAAATATGTAGGTGTTTTGCAAAATGCATGCACATGTATAATGAACATACATATAGTATATATTATTACTAAGCTAAGATCTCCCCGTCATAATCAAATTTACATTTAAAGTGAAAATAAACTTTATTTTCAGTTTTGTTTATCACAATGCAACACTGAATTAATATATGCTTACATAGTTTACACCAAATGTTAACAAAACACAGATAACTCAGTCTCCAGTTTAAAGCATGGGTAATTATTCTTTAAAAATACATAACTTGAAAATATATATTAATCATCTGAATTTTACTCACGGTGCACTACTCATTCAAATTGTCCTATGCCAACATAATATTCATATTTATGTAGTTATCTTACAAAACACAGTAAAAACAAGTAATAACTCGTATTTCCTAACTGACAACAGTATATACACATTTTTTCTTAGCACAGAAGGAATCTTTTGTATATTTTTATAGTTAAAAAATATACGAAAATTAATGATCAGATATTTGCCGTACCATTCGTTTAATAAGCCTTCTCATTGCTGTTCATTGGGAAATAAATATTTTCAGATTGTTTTGATTTTTACGAATTTCTCGAAAGGAACAAGCTTCAGATACCATAGCGACTGCTGTAGATGTCATGCACCTTAACCTTGTAACAAATATTGGCTCAATCTACCAATGGTGAAAAAATACGGCTACAGTTGTTTGATCACAGAATATCACAGTCTTATCTCGTTTAAGGTGGTGTTATTGTTATTTCGAGATTTTAATTTATAAAAAAGTATGTCAAAAGATCACAACAAAGGCAGGCACTATATACCAAAGCCCCAGAGTATCCCTTCCTCTAGCAGCTGATCCAACAACGAAAAAAATAGCATGTGAAAAACAGAGTTTTGAACATGGATGATTTATCTAGATAAGTAACTAAAATTCATTTCTTTAGCAACCCGACGATCATGATTTCACAAACAGAAATAATTGCCTCTGTATCTGCTCCGTTAAGAACCACCACATCTGTCCCCGTGAGGCATTTATCACAGACGATTGTAGTATTCGTTCCTGGTTTGGCTGGACCTTCAAAGTATCCGCAGTAAGAATTCCCAACAAAAACACCAATTTTTTTGAGAGCGTACGCTGCAAAAAATAATTTTGACAATTGCAGGAATGTCTTTTTTTTATATATTGGTTTACTATTGAATGAGTGCATGTGTATTATGTTATTTTATTAACTAAATACTGAAAAGCTATAATTATATATACATTTTCGGAAATTAATCCGAAACACAATTGATCATATGTGTCCCCACTGCATCTAAGTAAGTTTGCTTAACGTTGGACTTTTTTTTATAACTTAAAACGGACCTCCTTCAAATATTTTGACATTTGTTCATCTATTTAAAGACATATCCAATATATAGGGCAGTTCCCTTCTAATATATTTAAGTGAACATTCATCCAGTATAGTTCACTTGCAGTATAGTATGCATCCTTACAATCCTTTCAGAGATTATTCAATCAAGTTTGTGCAGCATTAAAATTGTGAGTTTAAACGAAAGTACCTCATATCTGTTATCCATTCACTCAAAGAGAAAGTAGAGAGAGAAAGTCACATGTACATGTAGCATCATAATTGTTACTATGTATCCAAAGTTGTAATGTGTATATAACACTTGTCAATGTAGGACTTTTATGGGCTATGGGTCAAATGTCTAGCTGAATACACATCCAAATACACTTCCTATGCAACTTCTGAATCTATGAGTGTTAGTATAGCAAAAGATCCCAAAATACACCAAACCTGTCTGAAATACAGTAACTAGGGAAGGGGCCTCTTTAAACCTCTCCACTCATCCAGGAAATATAGGGCACAAGGAGCATCCGAAACGTTGACAGATAGTATGCACCCATGATGCAAAATTCATGCAAGATTGTTAAAGGATGAATTCAGAAATATTGATTAACACATTAACCATTATTCATAGAATGCATGCTAAAAGTTATCATTCATGTAAGTATTGTTAACATAGAAACTGCAGCGACTTTGAATTCAGCCTGCAGAATCAGCCATCAAAAAATCTAGGTACTGCATCAGATATATAATTGATCATTTGCCCCGTTAGCAACTTAGCATGACCATTTCATGACAGAACAATCTTCTGAAATCTAGAAGAAATGACCAAATGTTTGCAAAATATTACTATAATTGCTACCACTTACTATGTAGAAAGAAGTACACTGACAACCTAATATTTTTATTCACAATATTTAAGCTATATTTATGCTATATTCATTTAAGTACCCTGCCTAAATTCCATTATTAATGTAATTTTTTTGTTACTAACGTATTTGTAATTTAAGGACCCCATTGGAAATAAGCTTTTTTAAAAAGGCTTTTATGGGCTATCCTTAGGTAATACCTATCATCTGTATGTCATGTAATTTATATAATAATACATGTATATGCTCAATTAGATCTTTATTAAGTAGCATAGTGCTGAGATAATGTCTGTTTTTTTTTCTATTAGTGGGCTAATCTGTAATGTTTTAATTGTGTGTTATCATGACATTCTGTGATAATTTTACCTGAATAAAATGAAATGAAAAAAAAGCTCTTGGTACTAATAATTGAGTATCAAAACCTTACGATATGACATATAATACATGAACAATAGCCTGCAAATATATATTTTGGTTACCAATGAACAAAAAATGTAGCAAAAGCGATGACAAGAAAGTGAGATTGACAGATGGACAAACGAAAAGGACTACAATATTACATGTAGCCATTTATCAACGAAAGTAGATTAAGATGAATTTAATACCATACCATGGTTTTCGTCTACATCTCCTCGACTAAGTATAATTACGTGGTCAACATAATGAACTGAATGAAGATCTACAATAAGATATGAATCTTTAGTTTTCTCTGAATGAGCACAGTATTCGTGGTTATCTCTCGAGATCCGCCATATACCATCCACAGCGTAGGAGGCTTGAGAATGTTGGTCATAAGTGCTGCTTAATCTGGCCTGCTTTCCAAGAGCGACGTTGACAAAGTGAGCTATGAGAAAGAAATAAATATGTCCATTTGATGTGAAATCAGTAAATCACAACTCGGTATCTTTCTAATTATCCCACTGCTAATTATTTTAAGAGCTATTGTATCTGAATTCAAAATTAAAAAAAAACACACAAAACCTACCAAAACTAAAACAAAAGACCCCCCCCCCAAAAAAAAAAAAAAAAGTAATTGAAAAAAAAAAAGAAATAATATTGAGTCATATAAAAAATTAGATGGATTTGAATATGCAGACAAATTTTTGATCGACAAAACCCTTTTGATAATAATCAGACAAGACGACACAACATTGAAGTCATCATTACTGGTTTTTGGCATGCAGACAATGTTTTCTCTTGAACGCCGTACTCCTTGAATTGCTTCATGACATTTTCCTTTGATTAAGGAACTCTATAAATAATTCAATATTCAATAAATTAATCAATCTTTAGATCAATTTTAAGAAAGAAATTATTATTTTTACTACCATTTAAAACGTTACAAACTTTGAAACCTTAATCATGACTACCTGAATCACTAATATGTAATCAATTAATGCAGTTGTCAAAGTTTTATGTTGTACTAAGTATTTTGCACTTAAATCAAAACAGCAAGAAATAAATAGCAAGCAACTGCTAATTTTCACATTCGGTGTAGGTTTCTTTATAACATCCATAGGTAATTTACAAAATTCAATACCCTATAACACATACGAAACCTTGTCACTGCGCGATAGAATAAACAGTAGTAACTACATGTATACTATGCATTTTCTATACTCTGAAACACCAAAATATAATATTGTTTTGGCTCAATTTAATTATAAGGAACTATCCTATTATATAATCATACAAATATAACAATTGTACATTTGAAATTAATTTCAATTGTCATTTTTCTCCTCGCAATATTCATTTGCGTTATTAACTTTCCACGTCACAACTGCTAATTTTCCACATCACAACGGTTCTAAGGTCTATGAGGCACACCTTCTCTGAGAGGCGCAAAATTCATAAAAAAGTAACAAAATTAGCAATTATGAAGAGAGATATTAGAGAATTTAAACATAAGCATTGAAATCTTACTTTTGGATGTCGTAGGTCCTATAACAGCATGCACCTGTCCGTGCCGACAAATTATCATTCCGCGCCGCACGGAATTCAATAAGTCGGCACGGCCAGGTGCTGTTATAGGACCGACGACATCCAAAAGTAGGAAATCGATGCCTAAGAAATTCAAGCTGTGAGTTTTAAATATACCCCTTTATTAAATTGCAGGAAAATGAAACTGTAGAAATATCACACTGTAAGGAAATAATATGTGTTAAACTGAGTAATGACTGTTTAATAAAATGCACATGTAGTAAAGCGCAGATTGACATTCTAATGCATTTTACCTTTGAAATAAGAAAAACATTAATTTCAAGAGTTTTATTGCAGTGCAGTGAAATCTTATTTCAGTCGACTGTTTAAAAGAATAATTGAAATTAAGAAAAACTTATGAAAGAGATAACTGAAAATCTTATGTTCTTTTCCGTCCCTTTCGAGAATTTTTCACTCAATATAGAAACGTCACCATATACCGTTCAAGGGCTTCAAAGGATGATGTGACATACGGCCCCCGGTAAATTGACAAAAAATTAAATTTCTAAATTTTTCAGTAATTTTTTCATGCACTTAATCACTGATATGTATACCCTCATAAAATACTACTTTTATCGAAAATAGAAACATAATTTGGAAGATATATGTCTTTATTTTGAGTAGGGGTACCATGTTTACATCCAATTCCCATTGAACCTTGGCCCCGCCCCACTCTTTGAAGCCCTTAAAATATACGAGCGCAAGTAGGTACATTTTGCTCCTTTGGCTGGTCACTATATTTTATTGAAATCAACCTATATGTGAAAGGAGAAAAATGTACCTAACTGCGCTCACATGTTTTTTTTTTAAAAATGTAAAATCTACCTGGCCTTTCCCATTATGAACAGATCGACGAAACTATTTTTTCTGACGTAAGAATAAATTCATATGCTAATCGAGACACTGGTGATACTTTCTAACTGACCAATCAGCTAAATGAGTTGCATTACTAGTAATACTAATGACGTTTTATGCTTGGAAAAAAGGTTGTTTTTTTAACCTGCTTTCAGATAAATAATTTTTATGCATTTGAGACACAGATTAGACACGGATCTACAATTTCTCAGCTCACATTTACAAACAATTGATTTATAAATATACAAAGTTCAAAGTTTTGTAAAGCGTTTTGTGGGCAATCCTCAAGGTCTAAACGTATTCTCGAGAATCAGTGAATAGAAGATTCTTGTGCATTTCTTGACCCAAAACGGTAAACACTGAGGTTCCATGCGTATTATTATGTATAAATAGCCTTGGCTGACCATTAAAAGTTTGAAATGTATTAGAGATTAGATATCGTGTAAATTGACCCAAACCACGTGCCCTTGATAGAATGTCAACATGTAGTAAACCAGCATGTTTTGTCGTTCTGTCATCGGATTGGACAATTGTTCTCGGTAAGCGACAATGTGCGAAATAATAACAATAGCCATATAAGGTAGATTCCTCGGACATGTATATCCCTCTTTTGTACTAAGACCCGCCTATTCTGTTTTCATAAAAGAACATATTCATATTGTCACAAACCAGGCCGAATTTTGCTGTCATAGGGTCTAAAAAATCATAGATAATGCAGTAATCTTTATAATTAAAATGTGTTAGAACTATTCAAACTATTCAAAAGGCGTCGTATTTATTCACTCATGTTTGAGAACTATCAAAATCGTTGTAGATTAAATAGAATTCGTCGCAGAAAAAGAGGCCCCAGATAGGAGTTATGTCACATCCTTTAGACCTTTACTCGGCATTTAGGTTCATTGAGCCGTGTCAACGCTCGCCGTGACACGGACTGACGGAGCCTAGGTTTTTAAGGCCTCATCCAAAATACCCGCAACTTTCACTTCCAAGTGCCGAGCGCTTGGCGAAGAAACAGTTTCTACCTATTTTTAGCTCACCTTAGCTGAAAGCTCAAGTGAGCTTTTCTGATCACATTTTGTCTATAGTCCGTCTGTCCGTCTGTAAACTTTTCACATTTTCGACTTCTTCTCCAGAACCACTGGGCCAATTTCAACCAACTTGCCACAAAGTATCCTTGGGATTCAAGTTTGTTCAAATGAAGAGCCACGCCCTCATTCAAGGGGAGATAATTCAGAAATAGTGAAAATTTGGTGGCATGTTTTAAAAATCTTCTTCTCAAGAACCACTGGGTCAAAAAAGTTGAAAATTTTAGGAAACCATCTTAATATAGTGTAGATTTAAGTTTGTTCAAATGATGACCCCTGGGGATAGGCTGGAGCCACAATGGGGGATCAAATTTTTACATAGGAATATAGAGGGAAAAAACTTATAAAATCTTCTGCTGAAGAACAGCAAAGCCTTTTGTTCTATTGATATGGAAGCATCCTCAGTTTAAAATCAAGCCCCTCCCCTCCCCCTTGTAAACTTTTCATTACTGAACTGAACTGATATGTGCTTTTTCCTAGCTAACGTGCTCAGGTGAGCAATGGGGCCCACGGGCCTCTTGTTTTATCGACTTGGGTCAGTCGCGGCCGGGGTTTGAACCCACGACCTTCAGCAGTACACTGTAAGTTATAAACAATTAGAAGAATATTGAACAATTTGTAATGTTTCTCCCTGATAAGGCTTTTAACAATATATAGTTTTTGTCTATTTTAGAAGAACTTAGCTTTAACATCTGGTTTCAAAATAACGGACCTTATTATAAATATTAGTCCCCTACCGGTGAAAGCAGAGGGGTTTTCCTCCTTATCTGTCTGCCAGTCTGCCCTACTTTGTTTTCTATTCCTTTCTTCCTAAACGCTATTGATATTGAGCTGATGTTTGGTATATGTGTCTACCTTAATGAACAGATCTAGTTTACATTTTGTTCCATTTCGATGATTTTTGAAGGAATTACGATCTTTTTTAATTTTAATGGGAACCAAGTTAGAATTACAATTGCTGGTAGAGGACTAGAATTGCTTATGCAATATTTTCAGAATGCTTGTTTCATTATAGAGCATCACTGAATTTTTACAAATTTAAATCTAATTCAAATCTTTAAAATTATAAAATATTAAACCACATGTCTGAACTTATCTCATTACTATTTTTTATTGATGAGTAATTGAAGAAAAAATGGTGTGTATATATATATATATATATATATATATATATATATATATATATATATACGAGGGGTTATCAAAAAGTTCGTGGACTAGCGCCATAAAATTAAAACCGCTTTAAGTACATTGATGAATTTTAAAATACTTAGTTAGCATCATCTTTTCTATCTATAGAATAAACCACAAATCATAAGTTTTAATTTTTAATAAATTAGTATTGGTTTTGTAAGCAATGGTATGTCCAGGCGGCGCAACCTCGAACATGACGTTTTTTCAACCTGAGTGTAACTGAGAAAAACTCTTTTGATATGAGCACTTGACATCAAAAATTCCCGTTAATTCAGACATGTGATGGGACACAATTGTTCCGCAAAATGTGCAATTTTAATCTAATTCTGTAAGTTCTATGAAATTTTATGGTCTATTTTATAAGGAGTGCCCAAACAATTAAGGGCTTAAAATGACGTCAAAAGGGGGGAGGGATTTCTTTTTCCAACATTCTATAAAGTTTTGCTCCTGATAAAACTGGTATGAGCCTCGGGAATGTTTAAACTGTCTATAGAGAAATAAAATCCACCCAGAGTACTTGTTTTTAAATACCAAAAGAGATTCAGTAAGATGAGAGATGCACAGTTAATGTCGATTTGTAATCAAGGTGTGAAAAGTCAATCACGTCAAAGAGTAACGTTGATCATGTGTGGTAGATATTGAACTCCATCAAGCAAAATATGCTGGCATAATCAAGCGAGTATCTCTCCCTATGTATAGATTTGTTTACAATTTTATATGCATTGAAATCAGCCGTTCATGACATTGTCATACCATATAAACAAAACAGGTTTCAGTTTTACTTAACTCCAGGGAATCTCTTCAAGATAAGTGTATTGAGACAGAGGGAGTGCGCATTGAGAAGTAATGACGTTGTCGGACGTCATGAAACTAAAAGACAACAGCGCCGGGTGATCATATAATGTCTTTTTTATTTTATAATAATTTGACAAATTATCAACGTATTAAGCTAAAATTTTCCACACTTCTTAAACTTTTGTTGTTTAATGTTCCTTATAAATTTTGTAAACACAGACTACATAGTATTTTAAATTTATCGCATCAGTCCACGAACTTTTCGATAACCCCTCGTATATATATATATATATATATATATATATATATATATATATATATATATATATATATATATATATATATATATATATATATATGTCTTTGTATTACAGTAATATTTTTTATCATATGTAGTCTCATAACTGCAACGATGTGTGCAAACAAATTGAGTGACGCGCGTTAGCACGGTATAAAAATGGAACTCGTAAAATTTCTTACCTTGTCATTGATCATTAACGAAATCACTTTGTTAAAAAAACATTCTGACTGTGCACACATAAGTCTCTGATATTGATATTAACATGTATACACTGACAATACTCAAGCTGTAGAAAGTGAACTAAAACTTACTTAAGATGTTCACTATTAAGTTTCAACAACTTTCAAAACTTGTTTATGATGTATTTGATATATAATTATGTTACTAAAAAAAAATGAGGCATTAAAAATTCTTAACTCATGGCCGTAGGAACCGGAGGGTGGGTGGGTGGGGGGGTGCCTCCTTCCCAATAATGTTGCCGATACATAGAATACTATAAGAAAAACATAGCTACTATATGCTTGTGCCCCCTCAATAATAACGTCTGATGACCTTTTTTTGTTTGTCAAGGAATTTTGGTAGTTGATAGTGCCCCCCCTAACTGAAAATGTATGGTTGTGCCCCCTCAAAGTGAATTTGCTTCCTACGGGCCTGTAACTGATAAATAACTATGTTTACTGAAGCATAACCATTTCATAGAATAAAAAATAATTAAAATCGCGTCTATACTTTTTTGGAAGAATAAATTCAATTTTGTCTTTGTGTTTGTGTTCTTTATGTTTGTACTAAGATAAAACTCAGGAAAAAAGCTACCCCGTATGCGGCGTTTGATCCTGGAAAAGCGCCTTCAAGCAGACAGTATGGTGTCTGCAGGGGGTTCCTCTGGAGAAATTTGTAAGAAAAAAAAATGAAAACAATTAAAAACATAATAAATTCCTCTAATGAAAAATTGTTGCAAATAGATTAACATAAAAATGTTTACTATAGATAGCCAAGGCATTAAGTAAGCAACACACGATAATTTCAAGATTGTTTCACAAAATTGGGGCAACCGGAAGTTTATAGGATTTGGTATGGACACTAAGGCACTAGATGACAACGCGGCGATATGATAGTCAATAACTCTATGTTTATATACTGGTACTGATCAGGCAAATGTTCAATTCACAGATAAGAATAACAAGTGGTGCGTTAGCAATTTTGTCTAGTGTATAAGAAAATTAGTTTAGAAAATTATTTTACTTTAAACTTCATATAGAACTTAGAATTCATTTACGGATATACTACTTTTAGAAGTAAATTGTATTCAATATTCAATTAAACATACTCTGCTCATCGTCAGGAATATTTGATGAAGCATGGTGGAAGCAGTTTCTATTGAACCCGCCCCTTTTAAGCCAACCGAATGTTGAAAACTACTTTGTATTAATATGTATTTCCTAAACGCCATCGCAAAATTTGATCTATTACAACAGTAACAACCTATGTGATTTTCTCTAAAATAAAACATACGTAAAATCCATGAAAACAGGTACGTCAAGACCTAGCCCTTTTGATCGTCGCAAGCCATAGCTTTTGTGCCCATTCTATTTTTTCCATAAGAATGGAAATGGAGTTGACATGAAACCCATGGCATGAGATGAAGCTTTATGGATTATGGAAAACAGCCCCAGGAATGAATAACAGAACCATATTGGGGAAGGAATTTAAAATTTTTTTATCATTAAAGTTAAATATTTTGTGCTTTTATACTTACAGTTGTAAGTACTATAATATAATCAACATTCTTGTTAAACTGAATCAGAGTAGTCAGATCATCGCAATATTCAATAGAAAATGTTACCGACAAAGGGTTACCCTGTGACACCTTTCAGGAGTAACCAATGAACTCATCCGTTGACGGCCGTTGGGAAAACTTCCCCTGATATTCCTAGGCAAACCGAAAAGCTCGAAATCTCGGCATGGATACTGTTGCGGCTACGGAGCATCACTCATTATAATTCCTTTGTCATAAAAATATAATCCGACAATAAACACTTAATATCCTCTAATAATTTAATTTTGTTTGTATTTTAGCCCCTGATTGGTTAATATCCAAAAAGGAACACAAATTATTTCTGTATAACCTGGTGTGGTATGGGGACACCCCCCCCCCCCCCTGACAATCAGCTGAATCATCTGTATCCATACAATCCTCTCATTTCCAGTCCTTGGGATTCATGGAAAATTCCAGATTTAATTAATGTACCTTTAACTTCAAACAATAATTCGATCTTACCACATGTAAACAAACAACACGGCTGCTAGGCCTATGTATCAGTTTTTACCTCCCCTCGCTTCCCATCACTTCCGTCACTTCCGTTACTATGGTTGTATTATTGATCGGCAAATTTGAACTAATAAAAAGCAACGAAATTTTACACCCATAGTTATGTAATGATTTTAAAGTCATTCCTAAAATATATAGACACTATCAAGATAAGCTTCATTTTTGTTTCAAATTTTTTTTATTTACCTAATTAATACAGTTTCGGGTGTTTAAACCAAGTAAATCGTTGACCTAGCATCCTTTAAGACAAGTAAAGCCCCTCTAGGGCTTGAGTTTATGATTGACAATATCTATGTGAATTTTGGAGACCAGGTCTTCCAACAATCTGCCGGAATTTCCATGGGTATCAATTGCTCCTCGTTATTAACGGACCTGCTTTCGTATTAATTTTAAAATACTTTATTCAAAAACTTATACATGAGATAGGGAGAACATTTTCTGTGGCCTTCAACTCGATATTTAGAGATATCAACGATCTATTATCAATTAACAATTGTTACGTCCATTCATATGTCAAGTCGATATATCCTAATGACCTTGAGATAAATGATACCACAGAATCTGACACATCTGTTTCATATTTGGATATTTTACTAGAAAAAAACCGTCAACAGTAACCTAACAACAATACTTTATGATGTCTTTAACATTTTAATCGTCAACTTCCCTTACTTATGCAGGAATATACCATTAACACCTGCATGCGGGGTTTATATCTGTCAGTTGATTCGATACTCCAGAGCAAGCTCTACGTATGAACAATTTCCAAAACACGGTAAGTTATTGACAAACAAGTTGACGAAACAAAAATATCAACAGTCTCGATTAAAGTCATCATTTTGCAAGTTCAATGGTAGATACAATAACCTTGTCAGCAAATTCTATCTAACATTAAGTCAATTTTTTCCGTTTTCCAATACAAGGAGCACCCGGGACGGGTGTTACCGGTCGACTGGGTATGCTTACTCCTCCATGGCACTGATTCCACCTCTGATGTTTTAAGAGGTTGTTGGTTGCTCTGCTCCCGATTCGTATTGTTTCAATTAACTTTTGAGCTTGGTAATTGTTCGTTATCTCCATCTTTCATGTTCTCAGAGTTACTGTGACTAAAAGATTACATCTGATTATCATTGGGTTTTTTTTTCAAATTTATCTTTATGAATGTTGAATAACCAGATATGTGTTCATGTGTTCGGTGAAGTACACTGTACTAACATACCTGGTGGGGTAGACAAACTTTAATTGTGTCACTCAGTTCCGGGGGCGTGACCTCTAACGAGGGGTAGGGTTCTGCTCTCAGCTCACACATCAATTCATCTCTCCTGTACACCACAGACAGACATACACTGTTCAGTTTACACCTATCCAAACACATCCGATATCCTAATGGTTTAATTATATCCAAAGCTTCGCCGCTATTTGTTATCTCCCCTCCATTTAAAGATACCCCGAAACACTGGATTTGTAAAATTTTGACATATAAGAAAAGCAGGAGTAAATCTGATAATGTCAATTGCACCATGCTGTTACATACAATTCTCAACAGTTTGCAATCAAGTTCCGAGAAAACCCTCATATTAAACTCTCTCTTAACGCAATACTTGAATATTAATAACTTTTTTATTTTTAGGATTATTGCATGTTTTGAAGATGATATAAATTGTGTTCGATATTATTCACCAAAGCCTGTCATCATGATATATGATTTATTCAATCTCTTCTTTAAGATCGACATCTATGGACAAATAAAAAGTAAGTACGCAAGACTAAATAGATAATTAGTTAGAAAAACATGCTTATAATGAAATATTTACATCCACTGAATTTTATCTCCAGTATTTCTTATGATAACCAAGGTCGTTTATCAATACTTTAAAGCCGCAAACAAACCACCTGTAAAGATTTATTGAGCATAGGCTCTTTTATCAATGAAGCATAGAATGACATCCATATCAATAATACAATATTTAACGTAGTTATCTTATTATATATGATTATTTATACAGACATAAATATAAACAATAAAATAACTTTCTTTGTTAGTATAAGAATTAACTTTGCAACTATTGCAAAATCATGCGTAAGAGAGTTATGCATTTTTTTTCTGCAACAGCTGCAGCAGTAACTCCCATACTCTTTTATTGTTTACTTAACAGCTTTCTTACATTCCCTGTAGTTTTAAAACGTATTATTAACTTCGCGGACATAACGAATTACGTTTATAACAAATCAAAATTGTTCCTCCCTGGCACTCTGCTGTAAGTGTATTTTACTGTAATTAGAAAAGTTGTCTGGGTTACCTTTATATATTCTATGGTTACCAGAATAATACAAGAACTATTTTTGTTTCAAAATATTACTTTGTAACACGTAACGTTTTTGAGTAATGTTTTAGTTTGCTAGTTCGCACATGAAAGAAAACGGGGAAGGGTGTTAAAACATAACCCGCCCAAAATATAACATTTACACAGACCTGTGAAATATATGTAGGAAGGTGGACTTCCATTCCCTTCCTTTCCTAGATTTCCCCCATGGATATTACGGAGAATCTGTACCTGCAATCATATAATTATTTTATATTTGGGGACCTCCGACCAACCATAAAACATAGGATATAAGGAATTGAGCTCTGACAGAAAACCTAAATTAGATGTGTATGTTAATGTTGTGGCAAGCACTTCTGTTAATGTTGTAGTGAATGTTGGTAACATTTCAGCCTAAACAAGTCGAATATACCTTAAATGTTGATCTTCTGGTGACTCTTGTCAAGTCCAGTGGGCTATACTCGCCACGTTATGTCGATGTCCCTGACACTTATTGTAAAAGGCCTGTCGAAATAAGTTTCACAGTGAAGTAATCATCACGAAGACGTATAATGTCTTCTTCATTATTGCAAGACGTTTATGATTTTTCATCTGAAATGGCTACAAACACCACCATCGCCCGTCAGCAAAACATCTCCTCAATGCCTTAGTTCCAAACTTCCAAAGGTTCATCTTTTCAAGACCCACATAATACCTTGATTCTCCAAAATCTTTGCAGGAACCCACGTGGGAGATATGATCATTGTGAAAGCTATAAACAGTTAAGCTGTTCTCGGGGCTTTTGTTCATCTCATTTAGCAGGTAATAGTTCAAAGTTGCATTCAACCAATATTAAGCTCAAGAAAAGAACAACGAAATGCCGTTAAAAAATATGAAGGAATACAGTCTTTGAAAAAAAAATCAACCCTGAACTCAAACAGAGGGTCGATGATCTTGAATATGGACTAGACAGTCTCCAGCAATATGGACTCGACAATCTCGAGCAATATGGACTCGACAATCTCGAGCAATATGGACTCGACAATCTCGAGCAATATGGATTAGACAGTCTCGAGTAATATAGTCTAGACAGTATCCAGCAATGTGGACTAGACCATCTCGAGCAATATGGACCAGACAATAATCTCCAGCAATATTGACAAGGAACATCATTACGTTTCCATAGTGTACCCATACCCGTACAGGGGACAGATGATAAGGAGGAGAACATTGATACAGATATTACTGTGATTAAAATATGTGTAGGGATGGGGAGTCACCATTTCACCGCATGACATCAACCGCTCGCATCCAATTGAGAGTCCTACCCAAAATAACGAAATGCAAATCATTTGAGAATTCAGAGGCTCGAAAAAAAAATAAAGTGTATTGTGGGAAAAAAATTAAGGCCAGACGTACTTCAAATATTTTTTGTATCTCTTCATAATATATATTAAATATTCATAATTATCCGTAACTTATGATTTCTAAACAGTTTTCAACATGTCTTAAGAAATAAATTCACAAAAATTGTAATAATGACAATTTAAAAGATTTCTAATAGGAGTACATGTATATAGGAAACTCTGGTATCTTGCACGAATGCCTGGTAAGGCATCTCCATTTTTCGTGAGGAAACTTTTGAAGGAGAGATTCTTGTCTGGTTTCTGACTTAATGAAATATTCAAAGTATATCTATACTACTATATTAAAATAATAGACTCGAATTTTTGGCCTTTAATACCGATAAATCGGAAGAGTACTGTCTTTTGTTATATATATTTTAAACATAATTGGTACTTGAAGATTACCAATTTGTTTTTATTTTTTCTAAATTAGCCTTTGCTAATTAATAATCAACGAAAATTCCACAAAAAATTCCGGAAATCATCTGGATTTTTTGGATTTTACAATCTTGCGCGTGCGCATTACATTCACGGTAAATCAGAGAAGACAAAAGAAGTACTAAGTAGATAATTATATATTTGTTATTTTAAAATTTCTCTAATAAGAAATCATAAATATATATAAGAAATCATTAATATATATGAACAGAATATATAGCAAATTTCCAATGAAAATTTACACGTATTTGTATTATCTTTCTGAGTTTATCCATACAAATGTGATATAGTGGCCACGTGGGTAATCATTCGCCATCTCGGAGACACATTTATTATATGTTATTTATGTCTCTGGCCATCTTAACGGGGGCAAAAAGCTCATGATCGTAGGAGCAATATTAATGTAACTACCCGATTTTATTTTATCCTTCCTTTCTTTTATGCTTTTTTGAGGGGAAGGGGGGGGGTTACAACTCCAGCTAGAATCACATCTTAGTGAAGTTAGCATTCTTTTTCCGCGAAAAATTACAATAACATTATTTTCATTTCTTAACTTTGAAACAAATCGAAGTAATTAAATAACGTCAATATAACCCATATTTTCAATTTGAAATGTGTCTAAATGATTGCAACTTGAATTTGTTCGCCATGTTTACTATTACCTTCACTGCTGAAAGTTATAACGCGGTGAATATGAAACATAAACTAAGGGCAAAGAAATATTTGATTCCATGCAAAAAATTCACATTATATTTCTTAGAAGTGCAGTGAAATCAATAGGATTATTGTAGGTTTATAGCTTTGTTATGTAAATACATGTAATGACCTCTGACCCTGGTCTGTCAACAATACGGTGAACACCCCCTGCAATGCTTGCGCCGTGCATTTCCCACGTGAACCATCAAAGAAAGCATTTTATTGTTTATATCTAAATTCACCTCTAAAAATTTCTTTCACTTTCAAAAAAAATGGGTGAAATATGTAAATTATTGTTATTGATCTTCAGTACGTTATATAGAAGGGACAGCCTGTTCTTCTAAATATGTAAAGGTTGTCATGGTAACTACGCTTTATAGGTATCAGCAGTGCTGAACTCTTTGTTGTTGTCATATTTTCAATGAATATCCATAATTTCTTTTATTAAATTTGTTTGGAAAGGTGAAATTTATGTAAGCTCCGGCGTGATTCTAACTCATGACTTGATTTATAGCTAACTGGTGGTCAAAGCCATTCTGCGCTACGCCGTTACGCAACAATTTTGCAAAAAAAAAAAAAGCAAAACAAAACAAAACAAAAACAAAAAAAACCCAGAATTATATTCACATTCATTGTTTATCTCAAAAGTACCTTACAATATCAATGTCTATTTTGTAAATGTCCGATATGCACATGGATGCATTCATAACAATGTCAACCCGTGCACGCACGGGTCAAAGTCTAGTATTTGTATATATTTCTTATGTATTTAGATTTCAGGGATTTAATTATTAAAAAGATGATATTTTTCTTTCCTCCTCATAATAGTACAACTTTAAATAGAAATGAATTATTGACTTTGAAATGTAGTAAGGACTATATTTTTGGCGGAACGGCGGTGTATGTCTGCTTCTCAAAATTACGACAGAACAATGAATTTAGTTTAAAACTTATATCCTATACTTAGGCCAGGTAAGATTTTTTCGACAATTTTTTGAGATTTGATGAAGTTTATATTGTTGACATCCATACTTAACTCGGGGGGTTGGGAGGGGGGATACTTCACTAAGTGTTGCTTGGCTGCAATAATGTAGCCCTCTCCGATTTTTTTATCCGATGTTTTCAGAAGAGGGCTTCAATCCAACAGAAACTCCGTAATGGAACTAACAATTGCATGGAAGGTTCGTTCACAAAGCATGTGTTAAAACAAGGTAAAATTTGACAAGCTAAAACAGGCATTATCTAACTTCTTTTTAATCAGTGCAGTTTATTTTGTAATAAATGTTCCTTATAAGATCGGGATTTTTATTTACCAAATTGTTATTTGAAGAATGAATTAATTTATAATTAAAAAGGAATCCTTTCAAGTCAGATAGAAAGTACTTTTGGGGACATTCAAAATGTAATTATTATTACTTATTCATAATTGGATGATTTCCAACTAA